TAGACCGGAACAGGTCTAAAAGTGTAGAGAAATATGCACTATGACAGTGATGGCGTACCTATGGCACGCGTGCCACAGGTGGCACGCAGAGCCCCCTCTGTGGGCACGCGGCCATAGGTCGCCAGAGGGAGGGTGCGCTCCGCCTGCGCATCCATAAGGTGGCACAAGTGGCCCGGCGGGCGCAAAGCCGGAGTTACCGGCAGGAGGTGAGCGCAGAGCGCAGAGCGCTCCCTCCTGCCAGGCACTCTGTGTAGCGTGGTCGAGCGCGCCGCGGTACAGGAACTTATGTTTCCTGTACCCGGGCGGACGGAAATGAAGTGCTCACAGAGAGAGCACTTCCTGTCCGCCGGGTACAGGAAACTGAGTTCCGCGGTGCGCTCGGCCACGCTACAAGGTAGGAGACTGAGGGTGAAGGAGACTGAGGGAGAGATGGGGGGGAGGAGGAGACTGAGGGAGAGATGGGGGGGAGAAGGAGACTGAGGGAGGAGAGAGTGAGAGGGGGAGAGATGGGGAAGGAGGGGAGAAGGAGGGACTGGGAGAGATGGGGAGAGGGCAGGGAGATGGGGAGGGAGAAGGAGAAGGAGACTGAGGGAGATGGGGGGAGGAGAAGGGGCAGGGAGAGATGGGGAGGGAGAAGGAGACTGACAGGGGAGAGATGGGGGAGAAGGGAAGGAGACTGAGGGAGAGGGGGGAGGAGACTGAGGGAGAGATGGGGGAGGGAGAAGGAGACTGAGGGAGAGATGGGAGGGGAAGGAGACTGAGGGAGAGATGGGGGGGGGAGAAAACTGAGTGTGGGATGGGAGAAAAAAATGAGGGAGGGATGGGGGAGAAAGAAAACAGGGGGGGGGAGAGAGGGGACGACATACACACAGCACCCCTGCTCTACACATATCACCCCACAAAAAGACACACACACACACACACATCACCCCACACACACACCACCCCCCCACACACACACCACCCCCCCACACACAAACACACCACCCCACCCACACACATCACCCCCCACACACACACATCACTCCACACACAAACACATACACTGTACCCCTCAATGCAGTGTGTGTACACTCAGCAGTCTGTCTGTGTGTGTGTACACTCAGCAGTCTGTCTGTGTGTGTGTGTGTACTCGGCAGTCTGTGTGTGTGTGTGTGTGTGTGTGTGTGTACTCGGCAGTCTGTGTGTGTGTGTATTTAACAGTCTGTGTGTGTATTCAGCAGACTGTGTACTCAGCAGTCTGCTAAATACAGACAGACTGCTAAGTACACAGACAGACTGCTAAATACACAGACAGACAGACTGCCGAGCACACACACAAACTGCTTAATATACACACACACACAGATGTTAATTAGTTCGGACAACTGTAAGAGTTGTTTTTTCTAAACTTAAACCTCAGTATTCAGGTTTAAATGCCGTTCTGGCACTTTGAGGGAAAAAAATTGGCATGTATTATGGTTTGGGCACTCGGGCTCAAAAAGGTTCGCCATCACTGCACTATGATAATAAGAAGCACAAGTAGTAGACTTGATTTGTATCAATGAAATCACTCTGCATTGTAACAATATATGAAGAGCTTAGTTCTGCTAAATGTATAACAATGTATAGTAATATGTAACACTTGAAAAGTAGAAACAATATGTATCAATATGTAGCACTTGAAAAGTAGCAACAAATGTAGACATTATTACTGACTGAATGAATATAATCTATTCAACTAATGGTTTAAAGGAATGAGATCACCCGTGCCAAACAAAAGAAAGAAGCAAATTTCAGAGATTTTATAGTAGAATACCTATGGGGAGAGTATATATCAAATTCTTGTTAAACAGATTAGAATAGAAACCCCAGATGAGAACGTAGTTAAAGGGAATTTCTCAATTGGAGAAAAAAAAAATGTGTGGGAAACCTGTTTGAAGTCTATCCTAATGGAACAATGTACATGCTTAACATTTATCAGGCAAACATCAGAACAGAACACGTATATACTATATTCTAAGTTGGTAAAACATTGACATATACCACAAATCATAATATTTAAAGAAACATTGTAAATGATATTTTCTCATTGAGGCCTTTTGGCCACACTGTGTTGAGAGTTAGTATCCAAAAAGTCTCTTTTTTCCCAATGTCAGGAAGTGCTAGCCACTGGTAATTCAGCTTTTTTGTCTCTATACACAGTTCTAATGCTAGAACAATGGTTTCTCATTCTCTCTCTTAATGGCAAGTCCATTTTCCCTACATAGGAAAGTCCACAGGGGCATTGTAGTTTATAAATGTGCACGTTAGTCTGTAACGTATTTTGAACACTCATGTGGCTACAGATGACACAATCCAAGCACATGTAGCATCCCAGATTAACTGTCACTTGTTTGGTGGAATGGCACTGTACAGGGTCCGTTCTTGCTAAAAGGTCCCTTAGGTTTCTCCCCCGTCGATAACATATCATTGGTGGGCTGCGGAATTTATTGGGCAGAGTGGGATCACTGGACAAGATCCACCAGTTGGATGCCACAGAGGCTTTGATCTTTGATGATACGGTGGTGTAAGTGATGGGGAACACTATTCTGTCCCTGCTTTTTTCTTTCGATTCTGTTGTGCTATAGCACCTATTCCATGCCTGTTGTAGTATGTGATCCTTGTAACCTATGTCTTTGAACTTCTTCCACATCTCTCCTATTTGTTGTTAAACTATTTTGGGGTCTGAGTTATTCCTGATGACTCGTAAGAATTGTGAGTAAGAGAGAGATGCCTTGAGATGTTCTGAGTGGAAACTTTCCGGTGTAATAGTGTATTTATGTCTGTAGGTTTGATATACAGACTGTATGTCAGTTTTTGGCCCTGTCTTTGTATACGAACATCAAGGAAGTCCACACATTCCGTATCCGTGGTGATGGTAAGTTGAATAGGTGTGTTCATTGTATTCATTTCTTCAATGATGTTGTTGATTGAATTCTCATCCCCTTTCCAAATGATAAGCATGTCATCAATAAAGCGACGGTATAGGATAATATTCTCTGCATATGGTGCTAAGAGATGTTGTCATTCAAAGCAGTACATATATCCATTGGCATAGTTCGGAGCCATAGCTGCCCCCATGGATGTGCCTGAGATCTGTTGAAACTAGCTTTGCTCAAACCTAAAATGGTTGAGGGTAGGTACTGCCCGAAGTAGTTCCAGTGTGAATTCAATAGGAGGTCCTATATATGTCGTTGATTCATTCAAGACACACCGCATTGCTTCAATGCCTTCTTCATGGGGTATGGCCGTGTAAAGGCTTTTTACATTGCATGTCGCAAGAGTGGTTTTGCCTATAGGTAAGGTTGTGTTATCTAGAAGATTCAATAGGTCTGGTGTATCTTTTAACGTTGTAGGTAACGCTTCAATGGTGGTTTTAAAGAGGAAGTCTAACCATTTTGCAATAGGTTCTATGATTCCCCCAATGGCAGATAAAATCGGACGACCCGTGGGTGTTGAATGTTCTTAGGTACCTTAGGTAAAGTGTAATCAGATCTGTAGATATATACCCTGCATCATATCGATGTTGTACAATATTTGATCATTTCTGCATGGTTTGAGTGGTTGGGTCTGCTGATAATTTGGTATAGGTTTTGGTATCTTCAAGCTGTGATAGGATCTCCATCCTATAGTATGTATATAATCCATCAGTACGATTCCGCCTCCTTTATCAGCTGGTCTTATGATTATAGTCTTATCATTGGCTAGGAATTGAATAATTTCTCCCTTTTTTGAGGTATTTGAATGGTAATATTGTTTTGATTCAGTAAGTTTGTTCATCTCCTGTTGCACGCTTCTTAATAAAGTTTTAATGGAGGCAGGAGCACTCTCATTGGGGAAAACTCATATTTGTGCCCAATCCAGGTTGCAAAGAATTATTTTGTATTTTTCCATAGTTGTCTTAAAAAAGGACATGACCACCAAATATGAGTCTGATTGCCTCGAAAAGTGCCACAGCCCCAGCACAAATCTGTATTAGTTACATACATTTTAGCAATTCTTTCTGGCACTAAGTGCCATCTGTTCGTCAGCTTAAATTGTAACTCATTTAAGTTTAAACAATGGATGTTGCTATAGGTAATTTTTAAGGATTTATTCCAGTCTGGTAGCGTTATTACCAATCGTAATTCTAGCTCCCATTTTTTAAGTGCCAGAGGAGTTGATTCTTTTTTTTAAGTCTTCTCAATTCTAAGTTACTAATTTTTTATAGTCTTCCTGTTGGATTAGTTTGCTCAAAATTTGGAGCTCTTTAGAAGTATCCTCTCAAATGACACTTTGATACTATACCCTTCACTCTTAGATATTTAAATGTGTCCCTCAGTGTTCGGCCAAATTATCTCTGTATAGTGTTCAAGGGTTTTATGTCCTTGTTTTCCAGGAGATCACTTATATATTTGACTTCTTTTAATTCCCATAAACACAGGTCTAGGTCTTCATTAAGTAGGTAATGTAGCTAACTGGGAGGCAAGATACAATCGAACTTTGGATATCAAGTCTGGTCATCTTCCAGTTTGCTAAAATTTGATGTAGAGCTAGACTTACTTCTCCTTTTAGAGCCTTTTTATTTTCATGAGGTTCCCAAAATAACCATGCTAGTTCCATGTCTATACCTTCCGCCCCTTGTTCTAATGCATGCAGCCCTTCTGTTTTAGACTTTTTATTTTGTGTTATTATTGCATGGGTTAGTAATGCGGATTGAGTATAATACTTTATAATAGGTATGCATAAGCCTCCTCCTTTTTTTTTAAAGGGATTCCAAACTTAATCTTGCTTTTTTTCCTGCCCAAATAATACGATTAAAAGCTGATTTTTTGTGGGTTTTTCATTTTTTTTGGGGGGGGGGGGGGG